ATACACGCAGTAGCTGTTCAGTCGCAGTGTGTGCGTGTGTGTTTGTTTTTTCTATTTTAGTTTGCTGCTTTCACTGTCTTACAGTGTTGTACACAGGTTTTTACATTTTTATTTTCCGTGTTAAACACATCAAGTTCACTTATAACTAAACGTAATATTTAAATAAAAATGCCTGGTTGGTGTTTGAAACCCAACTACACTGTATATAAAATGCTTGCCAAAGAAACACACAGACATTACTTAATAGTGACCAGCACTGTGTTGTTCATCAGCTGACAGGAATCAACATGTCTGCATTGCTTTACTTTGATTCACCTGTTGCACATCTTGATACAGTGTTGCAGAGGCCACCCAGAGCTTTTGTCTTTTGCTGCAGCTGCTCCAAAGTTGTGGAATGATCTGCCCTTGCACGTTAGGCAGGCCTCTTCTCTTTCTAAGTTTAAGACTCTTCTTAAAACGTATTTATTCGATGAAGCCTTTGGCACTGTTTAAGGGGGTTGACTCAGTTTGTTTTAACATGTTTTATTTTATTTCATTTATTTTGTTATTTATTTTGCTTTATTGTATTTGTTTATTTTGATTTTATTTTTACTTTGCTTATGCTATTTGTATATGTACAGCACTTTGTGAACCCTGGTTTTATGTTAAAGTGCTTTATAAATAAAGCAGGTATGGTACGGTATGGTAGTTCAGACCAAGTCAAAGAAACTGTAAAGATTTCTTCCTAAAGCTGGTTTATCTGCCACTATGTTGATTTTAAACTCTGACATAAGCGTGGCAAGCTACTTTATAGGCCCAGTACTAATGATGTCCAGTACTAAGAGATGCATTGGTCGTTTCAGCTTCATTGCTAGAGTCATGATTAGATTTATTTAAATGTACTTAAAATAACTTTTAAAACATTTTAAAGCAAGGATCATGCCAAAAATCATTCCATTCTCAGAAAGTACGCTTTAAACCTGAGTAATTAGGTTGATTTATTGTGCCTTTGAGGCAGTGATACATGAGCCAGTGTGATGAAACTTTCATCTGTTTTAAATCCTATAAAATGCGTTCAGTTTACAAGGCATAAAGCTTTGAAAGGAAGTTAAGAATTAAAGAAACCTGAGATCTGAGTCTTATTTGGTCTCTGCATTAGTTTTTAATCCAAGGATTTTGAAACGTAGTTCTTTTCTTGTTGCTTCAGAGAATTGTCTGACTTTTCCAGTTCACAATGATGAGTACAATATTCATCTTGTTATGCAAAAAAAACCCAAAAACATTTGTAAGTTATTTTAAGGCAGAATGACTAGCATGAAAATAAAGCACAGGGACGAGGTTAATTTGAGTGTAAAACTGAAACATGTTGTTTTACTGTCATTCTAAAAGGTTAATGAGTTGGCACATTTGAGGGTGGTATACTCTTACCTGACAATTTGTGATTACACTTTGCTAGGACCCCTGTTTACCTTTAGATCTACCCTAATTCTTTCTGGCATAGATTCAACAAACTGCTGAAAACCTTCCTCTAAAGTTTTGCTCCATGTTGACATGATAACATTACACAGTTGCCGCAGAATTGTTAGTTGCACAACCATGTTGCACCATTCCACCATCCCACGATGCTCTACTGGATTGAGATTGAATGCAGTGAACTCATTGTCAATACTCTAGTAGCCTGTGGTAGGCAAACAATCCTCAGCTGGTGTGAAGGGGCACCACCACCTGAACACTTCATACAAAGCAGGATGATTTTTCCAATCTTTCCAATTTTGGTTAGCGCACATGAGCTGTAGCCTCACTTTCCTGCTCTTAGTTGTGTATTGGCTCATAATCTTTTATACTAAGTTATGTTCCTGATGTGTTGTCCATCAAATTCAAACTGAGCTCATATTTTTCTTAAATGGTACCATTTCTAAGTCAAACATTTCATATGTCGTCTGTGTTCAATTGTGGATAAAATGTGTGGTTTATGGTATTTTAATATCATTGAATTCTGTTTTTATGTACACAACAACCCAACTTGTGGAGAAATTATAGTATATTTTATTAATTTTAATATTTATCATGAAAATATATCAGAATTAAGGTTAAAGACAGTAAATCTTTAGTTATCCATTTGGTTATTGTGTTACATTTGACAGAAAATGCAAGATATTTCTATCTGCTTTGACTCTTCTCTGTATTTCAGTTATGTCATTATCACTCATGCCGGATCAACAACATACTATCACTACAGGGGATTTTTCTGAGTGGATCTAAAGCAATGAAGTGTCTCCTTCCAACTAAAAACTGTAAGAAGACAGATATCATTCACGCCATGATCTCAGTCTTAAATCATATGTGTTAATTTTGTCTCCTTAATGACTTATATATACATATATCTCCCATGTTTGTTTACTGCTTTGTGGTTTTTAGTATTAATACTTTATACCTATTAACTAAATGTCCAGCACTGCCATTTCCCTCTTTTATCCACTAAACATCTGGTTCAAATGTATTAATCAGAGGTAATATGTTCACAATGGTTTTGATGAACAAAGGCGAGCACTTAAACCTGTTTAACCTTATTGATTTTGTAAGTTCTCCTTGTTGTCGGAGCTCAGCAGAAGATCAGCATCTCAGACTGAACTTTGACTTGAGCCCAAATGAAACAGGAGACAAACATCTTTTTTTATATTTATTTAGGAAACTTTCTTTATATTTAAAGTGATCATTTCATTTTTTTTCCTGATCAAATATTTAACCATAATACTGCGAGTGATTAAAATACATAAAAAAGCCAAGTAAAAAGGTTCAATGTATATTTCATATTACTCTTTTAAAAAGCCCACATTTTTCCATTAAACTAACTAATGATTGGTCACCTCATATCATCTTGTTCACTGCAACTGGCCTGTTGCTAAATTAGATGATCTGCTGTGTGGCAACTTGACTTTAGTCCAAAGATAGAATGGTAAAAAAAAAAAAGATTTTACAATTTTTGTTATTATAGAGGTTTCTCCTTTTTCTCTGACATTAAAATGGAATTATTAATAGCAGAGGCAAAAGAAACAGCCATGTTAATAGGAGGTGTCGGTGAAAGGGCTTGTTTAAATAGCATTTTTAGTATTAGTCCCAAGAATTCACCATTTTCTCCTATATTCCCACCTATTAAGTCCACCTAGTCCATATAGTCTACATACTGTACTGTAATCCATTTGCACAGTGCTGATGTTACTCTTGTGCAACATCAGCTAGTCTCCTTGTGTCTGATTGACTTATCTTGAGTTCAGTTCTCCTGTAAGTCTTATCTAGAAGATTTCACAGGCTTTTCTTAGGAGGTGAAAGGTTAGCCATAAATACTGAGACACCACTGCTGAGATTTATTTGCATCCAGTCTGGTTCCCACTGGGAGTGACTAAAGCTCCAGGGGGCTCTGGCCTACAGGAAGCTATGAAACCTTGCCAAAGTTACATCTTTCACCCTGTTATTCTGAATGCACCACAACAAATGAGAAATCAAAGGGCAGGTTTATGGATTACTGGACCTTTAGCGATCTGAGAGGCACTGGTTATCATTCATTTAGCAGCTTCTGCACTTTACTACTTCAGGCCATTTGTCATATTATAATAATTACATTTTGCATGTGTTGCTGTGGGACATATTGCATAGTGCATATTGCAGTATAAGTAATTTCAGTCAAATTAGAATTAGCTAAAACTAAACTCTTCTTATTTTGTGAATAAACAGTTTAATACGCCATGTTTGAGGTTTAAGGCTATTACAAGACTACAAGAGTCTAGGGTGGATCCTAAAATGATGTTACACCCAAATGCAAGACATAACTATTGGAGTTGGGCTGAATATTTCCTGTTCAGGAAGATATGTTTTGAGTTTTCCATTCAGGTATTTCAGGTATTCCAACTTCTTCTGGACCAATCTCTTTGAAATCGAAATTCAGCGTCCTCCCACCATACCAAATCCCACTGATAGTGGAAACAGCTTATAAAAAGGGATGCAAGTTGAATTTGAGTGAAATAGCTTCGAGGTTTCATTTTAATTTTATTCTATAAGTGAAATTACTCATTATAATCACTTTCACTATGTATTTTTTCCCCTGGATGTCCAAGTGCCACCCTAGAGATCCCTGCAGATGCACTGTACTTCTGATGACTGGTTAGGCCCATTAGAGTCCTATCTACCATGTGCATGTCATAAAGCACCTAATGCTTTGAGACGTGCTTTAATATATGCTGATAACTAACTTTAAGCAGGAGCACACTAGCAGCAGGCGATATAGGTTCACATGCTTGAGCCATCTATAAGGCAAAGGTGAGCGTATGTGAAGGCGTTCGCATACTTGCAGTACATCATAGTGCCACATTTGTGTTATAAGCTATATTTTGAATCGTATGAACGTTCATGCAGTCATAAGTTTGAAACAAAGAAATAATACTCAGAAAAACTTTATTAATCCCAAAGGAAATTCTGTAAAATCAAAACTGAAACCTTTCTCAGTTTGAACTGATTGCCTCTTAGAATAATGGCACACAGCGTTGAAATGAAAGTCAATAAAATCCTGATACTACCAAATGTTTTTGTGACCTGAGCTTTGAATGCAACATACAAAGTTATTGATCCATGATGATTAGTACTTACACAACACTGATGATGGTTATTAAAAATGTTAGCTAGCAAGACTATATTAATGTTGTATTAAAATATAATGATATATGATAACACATAAACATTAGTATTATCCTAGTACCACAAAATCTATGTTGTACTGCACTATATTACTTACTAACACATAAAGTAGTACAGCACTAAATAATAAATTATCTGCTAGATATAAATTGTCGGGGGGTGGTGTTTTTTGGTTTTTTAACAATAAGCATTAGCATTCTATATTAATGACCTCAGGATGATCTCAAACCAGAAATAATAAAACAACAGTCATTTAAAATAATCACTGCCCACCCCCACCCAGTGCTGACAGACAGTCTTTTTACCTTTGACCTGCCACAAGGACTGCTCAGACTTTGGAACCAGGGCAACACATTTGCAAGTCCCTGTAATCACATACAGTATGTCTTGAAAGCTATAAAAGCCAAAAGGCGAAGGCACAAGAATTAGTCTTCAGAGAAAGAGGGGGACTCTTCTTACCTTAAGGCTTCCAGGAGCTCAACCCATGATGTTGGGTTACAAGCTCTGCCTTGTGCTGTTTCTGGGCACATGCACACTAGCCCGTGAGTACAATATTTTTTTCTATTTAAAGGCAGTGGACTTGGACCTGTATGTGACTTAAATCTGTTTGTTTAAAAATATGTAACGAATGCTTTTTTTTTTTTTAGCTTTGTGAAAAGTTGGCAACTTGCTCTGAAATGGAACACATATTTCAAAAATTTGAGATGATGATATTTGATACTCTTTATGTCTCTTATGTTTTTAAAATAGAGCAAAACAAATGTGTAACTATTTAATTAGACTTCAACATATAAAAATTTACAGTAAATATTGTTAGTTTGTGTTAAGTGTTTTGCAAGGCATTGACAAATAAAATTACTAATTTTTTTTATTAGTAGTATTTATTAATGTATTTAACGTGCAGCTTAAACGTTTACCAAACAAAAATCCCCAGTTTCCCCCCGGGTTGGAGACTCAAATTCCTTAGGGCTTACATAAGACAGCGTATTTGGCATAAAATCTGCCAAATCAAATGCGCAGAGACTCACGCTTGGAATAAGAGAGCAGCCAAAAGTGGCATAATTACTGTATTCAATCATTTGCAATTGTGTTGTTGCACTGTAATGGCAGCTTGTGCGTTTGTTTGGGGTTTTTTTGTTTTTCAGAGCAAGATGTTGGAAGTGTTGAGGAACCATCTCCAGCCTGCTTTTGTGAGTGTCTTTGTTGTCATTGTTTAAAAGTAAATATTTTACAATGTGTAATTTAATATTATAAAGCGGGAAAATCAAAATGGGAAGCTTGAAATATTTAATTTCCATTATACCTAGAACGTATATAGAGAACTACGCATTAAACATTTAGCTTCAGTTCCATAAGTCCTGGATGTAAAGCTTTGGTTTGAGTGGAGTTAGCCTTGAAGTTTTTATTTTAGTTTAGCATTTGATAAACTGGCTGTTGTTGTTCTAACTATTGCTGTAAATGCTTTAAATACTTTTCAGTGGCCAAAAGATACAGGCACTTCAGAAGATTTGTGTATGACTACGAAGCTGAGACCTTTAACACTGTGAATGGAGCTACAGACAATAAAAGCGGCCCCAAAGTCTCCTGCACAGTAAGTCTTCGAGCTTAGATCATTGCTGGGGGAAAAAAAACAGCAATCTCATGACCCTGAATGTAAAACAAGAAGTCCAAACAAACTGTTTATTCTGCTGCACAGGTTGAGGTTGATGTGCCCCAGACCTGTAGCTTCATCCTCCGCACAACAGACTGCTCTCTGAGCGAGGTTGTTGGCGTTGACGATGAGGGGAATCCACTGTATCGTCCTGCTGCTGGAGCTGAGGCTTTCAAAGCTGCCATGGAGAAGTGAGTCATCTTGTTTGTAGGAAAGATTTATATATTTCGTTAATTGCTCTCAGAAATTAGGATCCAGGGTAAATGAGGAAATCAAAGAGTGACCTGAATGGCAGGCTGTAAATGATGATCTGTCCACGTCAACAGAAACACTCTAAAGATCACAGTCGAAGGACAGACAGATGTCAGGCTGTACCCTGAGGACAATGAGCCCGTCAACATCCTCAACATCAAGAGAGGAATTGTCTCAGCTCTCATGGTGCCTGGGATGGAAGAGGAGAAGAACAATGAAATGGTAGCTCCCCTCACTTGTTTATTACTTGATTTCTTCTTTTTTGGGAATATTTTCATAGCTTCATAGTTGGCAATTAAATCACGCCAAGTAGAGCCTGATTCAGTTTGTTGTTTAGTCATGTACAGATAAGTTGCACAAGGTGCAGATAAGCTGGCCCAGTCAGAGGAGATAAATACACTGTTGTAACAGCATGTTCCAACAATGACAATTTTCAGCAACAGGTCAAAGTCCTAGATAACTTTATCTTGTTATTGACATGCGCTGCACTCATAATGGAGGTAATCTTTAAGAATGATTGATTACCTGATTTAAGAGATAAGTTAAAGGAAGGAAAGCACGTCCATAGGTCCAGTTCTTACAGCTTGAATATTGAATTGTTTTGAACATCCTAATCATTTCCAGCCCACCGTGCACGGAGCGTGCTCCACCGACTTCACCATCAACAACAAACAGGACATTGCTACTGATGTGACAGTCAGCAGGGATCTGTCCAGATGTGACTGGTTCACTGCCCGCAGACAGGACACCAGTCCCCTGGCTCTCGTCTCTGGCATGGTAAGAGTTCAACAAAAATCTGACACTGCCATCACAAACTCAGGCCAAGAGTCAAAATATCAGCACTCAATCATCAGGAAAAAAATATGGTCTGATTACATTATTAAATGAACCCAAGCTATATTTTCATAGTATAAAACCACAAAGCAAACATCCATCCCTTTTTCTTCCAATGTCAAGCCACAAAGTACATCTACATTTCCAAGCATTCTACATTCTCCAAACTTCTGACAAAACATTAATTTTTTATTTATTTATTTATTTATTTATTTATTGCCTGTCAGAAAACCGGCCTGTCCAAGCTGATCAGGAGCACTCAGAGCTGTAACTACAGGTTTGACAACCAGAAGAAACACATGACCAGTGGAACCTGCACAGAGAAACACATCTTCCTGCCCCTGTCCCATGAGTAAGTTTTATTTTGACTATTTTTCATGAATAATTTTGTGAATTCTCTTTGAAATCTAACACACATTTGGGGATTTCTCTCTTCTGAAAAAAGAAACCAATATGGAATTTCTGCTATGGTGAAGCAGACTGTGACTCTGAGAGCGACTGCCAAGATCAATGACAGAATCTTTGATCACAGTGAGTGCTTCTGTTGTGTGAAAACAAATTTTGTAAAAATGGGGGGGGAAAAAACAATATAAATATTTTATGTGTGTCACTAACATCTAGATTCTAATAGATTTTCCACTGCTTGTGATTTATTTCTGTACAGATGAGGACAATATTTGGAACTTGGCCATGG